ATATGTACCTCTGGATGCACAATGCCAAAGTTCCCTATGTGCTTTCCTTGGCAAATGATACTGGCTTGTCTTCCTTTAAGCAGTTCAGGCTCCTACCATGCCAAATTAATATGGGTTAGTATGGAGTGCTTTCTAAGACAAACAAAATTAAAACTAAAAAGAAAACATCAAATGGAAACATGTATACTTACATCTGAACTTTCAATGTAGTAGCCTGAAGTATCACCATGTGACACAAATGAATATCCAGTCGCTTCCATTATTCTATCAACTAGACCATGTATTAGCTGCAAACGATAAAGTGATTCAGAGATATAGGGATTTGATAGGCTTCCCTGATGCACTATCTTAAGGAGAGTAAGACAAGGACAATGTGGGAGACATACACGAGAGAAAACTAATGGCATTTAAATGAAAGCTAAATACAGAAAATTCATAGGAATTCATACCTCAAATCCTGAGTTGGCTCCACAATACAACGCAGCAAGATGCCAATGGTTTTGAGCACCAACATCCTTGGTGTTGTCTACAAGGACTACATCACCAACTTCAAATATCTAAAGCGACAATGTTTACATTACATCAAAAAAATTAGACAGAGTAAATACTGTTGAGTTGAACTCTCTTCCTAAACACACGAAGTACGATACTATGATATGATATCCCATTTTTTATTTCACCGAAGTGTTTAAGGTCCTAATACAGACACTTCACATTTTTCAAACTGTAACAACCTTAAAACCTGTGAACAGTGAGGCCAGCCTTGTGAACAGTTAACTATGTACTATGATTTGTATGCAAGAAAACTGTGCATTGAACCGAATTCCTGAAAACATGTTAAGAGTACTAAACGCAAACTAAACCATAAATTATGAGTCTCACTGTCAGGAACAATTTTCTCATAAGAAAAGGGGGTAGTTCTTTCAAATATATGCTTTACGCATGTTCGCTTGCAAATCTTATTTTATATACCAGATTCGTAGTTAAGTGTAGCCATGTAAGCATAATGAGGGCTTAATTCATCAACTAGTACAACTCTATACCAAGCATAGTAAGATAGCTTACAGAATACTGAATACTGCAACCAGTGAGCTCTTAAATCCTACATTGATGTATAGTTTATTTAGTAATTTCATTTGATAATTTCTTCTTTTGGTCGGGTTAGCAGTTAAACACAGCCAAACAAAAGAATTGTTATAACCAATCTAGTTACAAGAGTACTTTAAATGATATACACAAGTCTATGTATCTACCTGTGCATTTTTTTTGTACATTTAATTCTTCTTTATCTTGACTGTTTGAATGTTTCATTTAATTTGGTTATTTGTAGGGTATTATTTTGTTCGATTGCAAGAGATCATGTACAAGTGATAAATGCATTTTATAATTTTTATCAAAGAGGTGTGCTTCAATTCTGTTACGTGTGCCCCTCTGCTTTGTGCCTTGCACCTCGGTTTTGGAAACCGAATCGCGTTCTGAGACGGATAATTCAGAAAAGAAGTAAAGTAGACCTCATGTGTTACATCAATTAACTGAATTCAGTTCAAATAAGTTGGATAAAATGAACAGCACCAAATTCATAGTGGAGAATTATGACCTTGTCCTCACATTACCGAACTGTCAGTAGCACCACATGACAAAGAAAAGGAAGTAGATACAGAAATCAGAAGCAGTAAGTTCATTATACCTTCATAGGTTTGGGATGGTCCTTATTGTGTCCAACTGTTTTTAGTATGCCTGGCATTAGACGTGTTCTTACAACCTGAAAAAGATATGACAGGAAAAACTTGGGAACATGAGTAAAATGTCACATAATAAAATAAAAATTGCAGGGGGCTAGATAGGGCAAAGGAACTAGCTTGAGATGATGTCTAATCAGAAAGGAAACTAGCCTAACAAGTAAAACTAGAACCTTTTACATTTAGTCTTTAAAATCCCCCAACAGACCATGGTGAACAAATGAACAGAGGTACACATTTTCAAAATTAAAACTTATGATAGATATAATGTTTCTCCAAATACAGGGAAGGAGGGCAAAGCCACACAGACAACCATAAATCCAACTTTCTTGAGGGTACTCATTTTCAACTAACCTATTGAGATATGTAACCAAGTCAAACATGGCTTGATTTACTTCATGGAATTAAACTACTTTTTTTCACCAACAGCCTTTGGGAGAAATATTAAGATAAAAAAGCCAATCAATTAAAACCTACATGCTTTTATGCACCTCATTTGTTACATCCCTTTATGTTCATCCATACTTTATCATGCAGCAAACCCGAGGCTGCCCCTAACAGTATTAAGGTATTACTATTTACTACTTGGAAGGATAGTAAAAACTAGCTGGTTATATACTATAATACGGAGTACAAGAAGAATGATCCACAATTCCACATAACATCTTTTGTATACTTGTCTATGTTTACAAAAAAACAGATGTATGAGCCTCCGGCCTCCAAGGAGAGCAATTGTTCAAACTTCTCAGGCTTAGCATTATGATGCTTAGGAAAATCAAGCATATTCTCTGAATACTACTAGTGAAAATTATCAAATAAAGCCTACTGCAGAGCTCTTGTTAAAGATTCCTTTTCTCCTATATATGTAATAATGGAAAGCTTGATTCAGTACAACTCAACCAGTTGCAAGTGTTTCGATTTTCTCAAGTTTCAGTTGTATGGTAGAAGACTACAGACAACAAACTAACCTCAAATTCAGAAGTGCGAGAATCTGCAATTACAACTGCTGAATTGTCTTCTCCACGCCTCAGCAGGGAGGCAACTTCTCTTTTAGAACACAATATCCACGTCAGCACCTCTGTGTAACCAGCCATTGATACCTAAATGATTTGCACATAAGATTGGTATATAGTAAATGATGTGCAGATTGCGTAGGCATGCAAAGATTGTGTAGGCATGCACAGATTTACATTGTGCCTTGCCAATAAGAACAAACTATCCCATAACAGAACAAACTGTTGGGGAGTATGAAATAAATCATTGATAATTCTTCGGCATTCTGGGTTGGGGAAATTAAAGTCCACACAAGGATTAAGGATGCAGTGGGTTCATGTGTTCAAGGTCAGGCATACACAAAAGCAGTCATATTACTTCAATGGAAATTTGCAGGATGGCAATGTAGAAAAGATTATTAGATTGACAATACACTAAAGAGCCAAGGGGCAGGAACGAAATGAAGACAGAATGATGTGGGTACTGCAAGGGAGTAAACACATCCATGGAACCAATGGTGTTTGAATCCATGACCGCAAAGACAATTAGATGAAAGGATGGTGTTAGAAAACATGATCAAAAGTCAGTGATGATGACTGATATCACCAGTTCACCACACAACATGCACTACATAACATTGAAGGCCTGAAATATGTAATGATAAGATTTTTGTTAACAGACACAACCATGCATCCATATCACTGGAAAGGTGGCTTGAGATTTTGTATGTGGTATTAATTCATTTAATAGGACTATAAAACTGCCTAGCTGCTATCAACAACCCAGTAAAATCCCATGAATGGGTGGGTGTACGCAGCCCTTACCCCTACCTTAAAAGGTAGCGAGATTGTTTCAGAAAGACCCCCGGCCATTGTCGTAATCAATAATGGCAGCCTTGTTATCATCTGGCGAGGTGGGTGTACGCAGACTTCAACCGCCTACCTAAATAGCTAGAGAGACTTTCAGAAACAGCGAATTCCATCGATGGGGCCTGGCAAGGTGGGTGTATGCAGACTTCACCCCTACCTAAAAAGGTAGACTAGCTGTTTGCAAAAGACCCATGGCCATAAATTTCAACAATGCAAATGAAAGGCTGAAAACATGAATGCCATGATTACCTCCATTCTAATTAGATCACTTAGTTGGCTAAGAGAGAGGGGCCTCAAAGATGCAGGCTTTCTTTTTGGAATTTCATTGTAGCCAAAAGCAATTGCAACATCCTGGACAATAATAATATGTCCATTAGAGATAGAAACGGGTGTCACGGGGTCTTTTATCAGAAATATCCCAGAACAAGTACCTCAGCCACATCACAAGCATGAAGAACATCACTTCTACTTGGGGGGACAGAAACAATAAACTTGACTTCCTCTTTTTCTGAAACTGATTTCTTAGCATGCAATTGCATTTTATGCAATAGATCTGCTACCTGAAATGACATCAGTCAGCCGCCTGCTAATCTGCAATTTTTAGCATATATTTTCTAGAACAAAAAAAACATTTGACTACAATCGCTCTCGTTTTTACTTGATATTTTAGGAAAACAATTAAACTGTAAAATATGGACCGTACAATCAACATGTAACAAATAAGAAACAACCCAGGAAATGGTAGCAAAATATTATAACTAAAAAACCAAGTTTAAGCTATATCATTATTATTTTAAACACAATTCTGACATCTTCATCAAAATTCTTTAATCAAGTCTAACATCAAATGGATGGTCAGCTATGAAAACTCTATGTGAATACGTCAAAAATATGTATACACTGTCACTAAGTACGAATTGCTATTCCCTAAGAAGAAACAATAAAACTATAAGGTAATGGAGTTAGTAATAGAAAAGAACTGATCTTGAATGATTATCCAAAAAAAATAAAGCATTATGAGCATTGGAGATAAATACAAAGCAAAGTCAGAACCACTAATCTGTTTTGACGATAACAATCTGGTGCTAAAACAAATAGTAGGGTTGTAACAAGTTCAAATTGGAACCAGAGTAAATTACTTGATCTTCAGGCAATGATACTCCAACTACACTGTTAATGTATGACAAAGGTACATCCATTTGGTATAGTGATAGGTCCGGAGAAATATACAATCTTCCATCAGGATATATTATTTTAACTTGTTCAACTTCAAACTTCTTTTCACAGTAAGCTGAAAAGCTTGTCACCTACATTAAAGATGACAAAGAATGAAAATAAATATACAGAATAACACATGATAAATCAATAAGCAATCCTAGGAAATCAGAGCCCTACCATCGTGTTCAAAACTATATTGGCCTTTGTCAAATCTGTGGCTGTGCATTCAATGAAAACATTCCTTGTTTTTAAGGTAATGGCAGAATGTGCACCATTAATAATGGGAGGTAAAGATAATACAGTTCTGCAGGAAAGCATGATAAGGTCAAACACACTTAAAATAAGGATTTGCACATTTATATTAAAAAAGAACAAATAGAAAACTTCCATGGTAATTCAGTGAGCACAAAATCGCATATATGTTAGATTGTTTTAATTAAGAGTACCAAAAAGAAGAGATATTTCAAATAACAATACTCAGTAGCCTACACGCAATATGGCATAGAAAGGAAAAATAAATCAGTGCGGTAAGATGAAACAAAATTATGAAATATATACATTTATACCATTAGTAATTGAATACAGGAAAAGAGAAGACCAAATACCTGTTATTGTCGTATATAACAGGGAAAACTGGTGAATTCTCAATTATGTGTAAAAACTTCTTCAATTTAAGATCATGCTGCAAATATATCAAGCATTTGCAGAATATTTTAGATCTAGCATAGCATGTTGGAGAAACTGAACCTGTGTTAGATAATACTGCTTATAGAATAACATGAAAATAAAAAATAAAAAAATCCCAAATAATACATGATACTGAAAAGCATGTATTAATATTGATAATGAGAAACAAAGTGCTGGTGGCAACCTCTTTGTAGTATTCCATCAGCTTATCAGCTCTGAAACTCTCTTTCTGGGAATAAAAAAACAAGTAAAGATATTAGCATAACTGCATGAGCACCAAGATACCCTTGAGAAACATAAATAAGACCAGCAACCTGTTTCAATGGAACAAAGCTGATTTCTGAGGGAGGCAAAGCCTGAAATTTGAAACAGAAAATAATATTTGAGTAAGAAAAAAACAGTTTCTTGATTAGAAATAATTACAACAGCAGCAACAACCCCTGTAAAAAATCCCACTCCGTTAGGCTCTAGGGATCAAGATGTATGCAACCTTACCCCTGAAAAAACAGAGAGGTTGCTTCCATTAGACTCTGGATGCATTGCTTCATTTACTGCCCAACATAGAAACTAAGCGGGGTATTTTACAGAATCGTCTTGATTTAGGCCATTATTTGTCTGAAGCTAAAACATTGTGAAAAATTACTCTTCTGGCAAAACAGCATTTATACCCATAAAACAGCCCCTTTCACAAAACTAAAGTTTTATAAAGGCAATGACCATATGTGAAAGTCTTTCCTTTTTTCAAAGATTGTAATATTCCAATACTACATTTTTATGCCCATTATACTTCTTTACAAAGGATTTTAATGGGAAAAATCATGATATGGCATTTCATATAACGAGCCTCCCATATGAGTGCTTCTTAAAATAATGATTACATCAGCTATTTTTCAGGAAATTCAGGAAAATTTTAGCCTGCCTTAGGGTTATTTTAAGAAACGTGTGGCACTGTGGCTCAGGGTTATTCTTAGACTATGTTTCACGGAAACTCCATGTAGGCTGCCGTACCCGTGTAGAAGACGTCGGACACGCCGAAACGCGTGGGAGATGCCTGAAGACGTCTCAAAAACTCCAGGTGGCATTTCATTAATTTAAAATTTAAACAAAATCTGGGAGACGGTGAGAAGACGTCGGCATCTCCCTTTTCAAAAAGAGCTGGGAGACGATTGCACCTTGAAGATCGGAACTAGGGTTTTCGATCGGGATCACTGCTATTATCGGAAAAACGAAAAAGTTGAAAAGAAGACGAGAAGAGTCGCGCGCCTTGCTGAATCGGTCCCTCTCCCAGAAACTCTCTTTCCTCTGCAACTTGCAATTATTCAGAAGAGAGGAGTCACACGCCGGGCTTTTTTTTCCCAATGCAGATATAAATGACCCAAATAAAAGACTTCACCCTCTCACCTTCCCACTTCCCAGCCTTTAGTTGTTTTAAATTGGACAAGATGACCTTCTACTTATTTCTGTTTATTATTGACATATTATAAATTTTAAAAATTATATTAAATATATATGTGTATATATGTATGTATGTATACATGTATATATGTATGTATGTATATGTATTCAGCGTCTCCCCGGCATTTTGTCTCTCCATTTTATCAAAATAGTCATTTCAGCGTCTCTGTTTCGTCTCGTCTCTGTCTCAGTTCCGGTGCTACATAGTTCTTAGAAAAACCCTAAACCTAAAAGCTAAGGGTGACCACGAGATATTTCTCTTTGCAAGTTGCAATGGCTTTTAAAGAAAAATGGTTTGCTAATCAATTTGAAATAAGTGCGCAAAAACTGTGAGATGAACATCAGCTATAAGGGCCTGTTCTTTTCGGTTGAAATTCCAAAGTTGGATTTTGGAAGAAACTGGAAGGAATTGGAAGAAACTAGGAGTTGGAAAATGTTGGGAAAATGAAGTATTAAAAAACCACTCAATTAATTGATCACCCAAATAAATATGTAAGAACACTAATTTTGGATTAAAAAGAATTCACCTTTGTCCGTGTTTGGGGTGATTATTATAAATTTGGATACATGATGTTAATGTAAAGTCATTATATGTAAATAAGTTTTTTAAGTCGTTGGAAAAAACTGGAAAGAGTTGGTAAAACGGGAAAGAGTGAAATTGGAAGGAGTTGGAGAGAGTTGGAAGTTCATTTTTACAACCCAAAAGAGCAGAACTATGAGATGAACATCATTGTTGCTGAGCAATCATATAGGGAGATGGTGTTAAAAGGAAAAATAGTTATGTATACTGTCTGCTGCTAATTCTACATCTTGAAGCCAAGTGTACTGAAATTACATATCTGATAAATCAGGTAAAAGGAAATTAAAACTATTGGTAAACTGTAGTGAATATAAAACAAGTTGGCAGAGAGAATAAAGCTGATGCTGTAGAGTTATAAATTGAAATACCTCATATGTAAACGGAGCTTCTATTGTATCCAGGTCATGAGTCCCAACGGCAACCAATGTTCTTCGCCTAGAAAAACAAACACCAAGAATCTAAAGTGTGTAAAACCTCTAAAGAATAAGATTTCAAGACTTCAGTAGTCAAAGACTTAAACATGGAATGGCAAACACAATCACAATCAGTAGATGAGATTCACAGATAACATGGCCTAAGTATTACCGTTTCTAAACATTAAACTAGCTTCGAAGTAGAGGAATAATAAATATAAACAAAAGGAGGCGTATATTTCTCATGGGAAACAAAATAGAAAAATTAATAAAAGGTACCATTTAAAATTTTATCATCTCTTTACCGAATGTTGTACTCCATTCCACGCTTGTGTTAGATTTAATCGGGTTTGTTCACATATAACCGAATGGGTAATGAGTCGATGTTTGGGTCAGTTAGTATAGAATCAATTAGTGTGGTGTCGTTTAGTGTGTTTTACATATTTAATTAATTTAAATAAAAAACAATAGGGCAGTTTCTAAAAGGCAGTTATGGGTAGTTTCTATTGTTAATAGGTGTGTTGGTTTGTAATAGTTGTGTTGGTTAGTAAAAGTCATGTTGGTCTGTTCTCTATATATATATTTAGTGAACACAAATATTCTTGTACAGTTTTTTACATCAATAAAAATTCTATTCTGCATACCAATCTGTTTTTCCTATCAGTTTTCTACATTTGGTATCAGAGCGGTGTGAATTGCGATCAGGGGGTGTACGATCTACCACAAAAGGGATCCGCCAGAGCATTTCAATTTCCTCGACAACAGATCAGAAATCTTTGACCAGATTTCTTCCTTGCCTAGAAAAAGGACATCAAGTTGCTAGTTTTTTTTTCTTTGGCAGAAGAATTCCAACCAAAAGGCGCGGGAAAAACGAATAAGCGGGGTAGCTTTCGTTTAGCGGCTTGGAAGACGGAAAAGCAGGGACTTGTCTTCTGGTTGATGGTCGGTCGATTGCAGGTGGCTGACGACCCAGGAAGGAATCAAAGTCTAAGAATTTTGTGAAAATTGTCATAGGAATTAAAGTCGTGCAATGGAAGACAATAGGCAGATTGTGACTACAAGGGAGAATAGTTCACTATCTTTTACGGTTCCAATTCTAAGTGCTACAAACTACACTATTTGGGTTGTGAAGATCAAAGCAATTTTTAATGTTAATGGGATTTGGGAGGTGATCGAACCAGGAACAGAAATTGATCCTAAGAAGAACAATATGGCAATAGCATATCTGTTTCAAGCTTTGCCGGAAGAGATCGTGTTACAAGTTGCCCAGTTTACTGANATCAGATTTTGAGAATCTAAAGATGAAGAACAATGAATCACTTGATGATTTTGCTGGTAAAATTAGTCAACTTGCAACACAAGCAAACAACCTTGGGTCTGCATTTGAAGACAAAAGATTGGTTCGAAAGCTTTTGGGTTCTGTACCTGAAAAGTTCATGCAGATCGTTGCTGCAATTGAACAGTTTGCCGACATTAACGCAATGCCATTTCAAGAAGCGGTTGGAAGATTGAAAGCATTCGAGGAACGCATCAAAAGGCCAACTGATGAAGGAGATACATATGGTAAACTACTCTTCACTAAAGGTGATGGAAAAGAGAAGGTTCAGGAGCACAAATGTGAGCATTGTGGTTGCTGGAGCTTAAACCGAGAAGACTTTGGGCGTGGCCGAGGTAGAGGTCGGGGGTCCGGGAAAGGTCATGATGATGGTCGGTTTAAGCGGGATAAGAGTCACGTTAGGTGCTTCAAGTGCAATGAGTTAGGGCATTTTTTGAACGAATGTCCAAAGAGGGATCAAAAGGAACAGATTGCAAACTTGATTGAAGATGATGAACCAACGTTATTGTGAAGATCAGTGTGAACAAAAAACGATTAAGGGCGTGATTGTTAGATTTTTTCACATATAACCGAATGGGTAATGAGTCGATGTTTGGGTCAGTTAGTATAGAGTCAATTAGTGTGGTGTCGTTTAGTGTGTTTTACATATTTAATTAATTTAAATAAAAAACAATAGGGCAGTTTCTAAAAGGCAGTTATGGGTAGTTTCTATTATTAATAGGTGCGTTGGTTTGTAATAGTTGTGTTGGTTAGTAAAAGTCATGTTGGTCTGTTCTCTATATATATTTAGTGAACACAAATATTCTTGTACAGTTTTTTACATCAATAAAAATTCTATTCTGCATACCAATCTGTTCTTCCTACGCTTGGTGTAGTGTGTATTACAAAAAAAAAAGAAAGAGAAGAGAGACTGATAATTTGGTCATGTCTTCCCACCATAGACACGCAACAACACCAAATCTTTTTGGTTGAGGAAACCAGGGGGAGAGGCTGGCCATGCAGAATAACAAAATAGAAAAGCTAATTAAGAAAAAGGGTCTATCTACTTTAGTTAATGGGTATACTCTTTTGATCCCCCTTTATCTAGTACCGATATAGTAAGAGAAGGCAAACTAAACTGAATTTATCGTGTTGTAGAAGGCAAACTGAAACGAATTTGTTGAAGGTATGGTAGTCAAGACCATGATCTAGGGCGTAGAATTGCACAACTCTACGCATCATGGAGGAAGTTAGGGTTCAGATCCCCATCAAAATCAAAAGTTTCTCTACACTGAAAGGATCATCGAATAGACACATGAAGCGCTGAGTCACCAAATTTTTGGGTTTGTAAAATTCTTCTTTGGCAGTAAACATGTCAGGGATAGTAAAAGTCACACCTCTTCCACATATAAGGTTAATCGGTAGTATTAGTAATCTTTGACGATGGCTTCTACTCATCCAAGAAACCACCCAGAAGCCTGTTACATCAAGCATAGAAGAGAATCAGTTCTCTTATTCTCCCAGATTCATATTTTCTCTCTAACTCTCTCTTCTTTATCTTCTGCAATCCCATAGAACTCAGGTATGTGTTCTTTTTACACATTCATTCTGCCTGGCAGTAAAAGTTGTACAACTATAATAAATATCTCTTATGCACCGTCCTTCATATGCCCCCAACTTCTGTGCAATCCGATATTTTTCTTTCCTCTTTTTTAGTTTGAAATATATATTTTTTTCTTGATACTAATTCATAGTATCATGGTTCTGCATGTTTATGTATTGCAAACTCAGACATATGTTTTAAACTTCATAAATGTTTGCTTTTCTTACTATTTATGAATGCATGATATCAAATGTCATTATATGTAAACGGTACTGAATGTATTTAAATCATGTGTGCATGCATATGTATTTCTCTGCTTATCTTCTAGGGATTTCCCGTCTCTCCCTGCATCCACACCCGGTCTGAGTGATTCGCTGGAAATCTCCGTCTCTGCAGGCTGCAGAACCGCACACATGAGGATGAGCGGGGAAAATCCCGTCTGCAGCACCGTTTGCTCTGCCTTACACAAGTCATATTTTCACACCAATTTCTTTCCCAAATTAGCGATTCAATCTATCCCCATTACAACGACACAAACATTGACACACCCTCCGTTCCTTTATCTGCCATCGAATTTAGATATGTACCAATTCTAGGTGGGCTCTCACTTGCTGGCTAGTGGCAATACAAGTGCACAACATGTCGAGATCCCTAGCTCACTTTTTATTTTAGATTTTTTTCTTTCATAGCATCAGGTGCTATGCTTTTTTTCAATTTTTGCATTATAACTGCTAAATGTTAAAGTTGGTTGCTTAAATGTGTTCTTGCCTCTACAAGGAAGTACTACTTATTTCTTTTGTATTTGAAGTTCTCTGCATTTGTTTCTTGGTTGGGTTCTATTGCATTTTTTTTACAGAGTTACAGTATTAGCCTAGATTTCTGGTGCAATTCCGGTCTTTTAGGTCTAGTCAGTTCGGTCCTATTCCATTTCGGTCTGGTTCGGTCTAAAACCGAATGCTTATAGGTCCGGTCTTCGGTCCATACATTTTTCCTAATCGGTCTTCAGTCCGGTCCGGTTCGGTCCGGTCCGGTCCGGTCTTAGACCGATGAACAGCCCTAATGGTTGGAGTAAAGATAAAAAAAGTTAGAAGATAAAACACTATTGAAGAGCTAAAATGACATTTAGCTTTTAATTTTTTACAACGTCCCTTGGAGTCGAGATAAGAGAGTCATTTTTACAACATTTTAGCTTTAGTTAAATAATGAACTAGATAAAAATGGAAAATTAAACTTTCCCTGCTTCTTAGTGTATATGATGTTTTGGGAAGTAAATGCATCAAAGGATCAAGGGTCTAGAGGAAACTTCTATGTTATACAAGGAAAGGTTATGTACATCTTGACCCACTAGACCCCAATGTAGTGGGGATTATACTCGGTTTGCTTCTGTAATTCCTTACCTGATCCAACATAGGATCACAAGTTTCCTACCTTGGTTGGAGCCTGAGGGGACCAAGAGGAGAGACAGGCGGTGAAGAACGTGAGACGAACAATTGAGATTGGACTTGGCACTATTGGCAGTCCAAAACCTGCCTAAGGGTGATTTAGGTTAGAGGTGCAAAGTTCATGTAGAGGTTGTGTGTGTCATGGAACTGTTTTTTTTTCACTCCTCCACAATGGGTCATTGTTCATCATAGTTCTTACGATTACTAGGTGAGGCCTGGCGCCAGAGTACCTTATATTTGCCTAGGCGAGTGCAATACTATATATATATATATATATATATATATATATATATATATATATATATATATCTAATTATACACACACACACACATATATATATTCATACATACATACATATACATATATATATATATAGAAAAAATGAATAGAACAAATGTTACTTTTTAAAAAAAAAATCCTCATCGCCTGAGGTGAGATTAGGCTAGAGGTGACCTAAGGCAGGCACCTCATCGCCTTAGGCGTTTTCAGGCTAGGTGTCCAATCAGGCGTCTCCATAAAAATGCTCAAACACCTAGGAGACGCCTTGATCACTATGTTGTTTGTACCTCACATCTTATAGAAATTCTTCGGCCTGATTTAATGGTCAACTTTCTTCTGTGTTTGTCCGGAATAACTTGTCTACTTTCAGTATTCAATAAACAACTTATGATGTTAGACCAAATGAGTGACGAACTCATTTGAAGGCTTTATATGATATTTTAAACACATATCTTAAAAATGATAGGTTTTAGAAAGTGGGGAATTAATTCCATACAAAGAAAGTAGTTTATTTTCCTAATAATAACACTTTTCAACCTTTTCTTGAATCCCATGTGATTTTCACTTGGGAAGTTCTTTTAGGGACAGAGGGAGTAATTGATACTTATCCATTCCACCAAGGATAACAAACCGAAAACTTGAAGAAAGCCACTAACACTATAATCTCCAATAATTCGCCAAACAACTTTTGTTTCATAAAATAAGAGCATTACCGGCAAATATTCTGATGAAGTCGATCTTGAAGATCAATAAAGCTAGCATATCTTGCTTCATCAAAAGTTAAACCCCTCAAAATAGCACAGACAACATACTGTCGTATTTTTGATGTCTGTAAACAACAATATTGACCATATAATCATATACTTTCTTAGTTACTATTACACCATGTGCAGTAACAAGAACAACACATGGGCAAGAATACATGTCTATAAAGGTAATACCTCTGCCTTTACATGCATTTCTAGCATGGATTCTTCATTGACATTTGCAACCTTATATGTAGGAATGGGATCAAGCCCACTAAAAATGCGAAGGGCTTGAACTAGCCCCTCAAGGCAAAGTAAATCATACCTGTACTCAAAATTTAAATGAAAAAAGTGTGTCAATTTTCCTGGCCTCGGTTTTATATTTTCAGCCTAACAGTGGAATGAAGCATGAAGTAAATTTTCAACAAGATTCTTCAAAGTGTGATCTTATTCAGTAACCAATAATAGGTACAGAGAAAACCTTTAAAAATTCCAAATGTGTGAAAGCACTCGTCTTTTAAGACTTCGTTCATGATTTGAAATGAATACCGTAAAACTATTTTAGTTTAGTTGGTTCATTCTTAGTAGTACAGACTTTCATATAACTATGAATACCTGTTAGCAGGAACTTCGATTTTGTATATAATTTCTTCATCTTCAGATGCTTCTTCTTCGTCTAAATGTTGTTCTTTCCGTTTAATTGCTTTTTCTGTGGTCTGCAATGACATAGTAAACTCAGCAAGTAACCAACAGCCAATAAATTTTATTAACAAATTGTTTTAGATTTAAAAAGCAATGAACTAACAAGAGATGAAAACAATCGTGATTGAGGTTTAAAACAGATTAAATCTTTCAAAAAGAAAGTAGGGAATATACAATTTTTAAAATGGGCAACATTGGGCAAAATGCGCCTAAAACCCAAAGCCCACACATGCTTGTTTTAGGAAAATAGAACTTACTACGTCGTCAAGCTCAATGCCGAAATCGAAACACAATGCTTCAAATTCATCTTCAGCTGAAATCAAACACAAGTTAAAAGGGTATCCATGAAAAATTACAGAAATGGGTACACAAAACATGTAGAGATAGGGATCGAGCGAGAATTAACTGTAAGTGCGACCCAGAGCTTCAAAGAGCCGATCTCTTCCAACGCTAACGGTGGGCATGGAAGCTGCGGCGGCGGCGGCGGCGGCTTTGAAGACGGTCGGCTAGATAGACTCTCTAGGACAGAATAGGTCAAAACCCTGAAACAATGCTTTGGTCGTTTTATAATATAGACTAACTTCATACTCGGGTAGTAGGGTATTCTTTTGAACCTGTTTTGTTTTTTTTACTTGCCCTCCCAAAATGTAAGCAACATTACCTTAAATGAAGTAATTTTTTGAATTTTTTTAATCCATTTTATTTAAAGAATGGTCCGTAAATATAATATAAAACTTACATATTTAAAAATTATGTCAAAAATTCTACGAAACAAGTGGTGACAAGAATTTTATTTTATCAAATAATCAATAAAAATGCAAAAATAAATAAAAGTTCTCGTGGTTTTTAAATAGTGGAGTGTTTCTTACATTTTAAGATGAAGGGAGTACTACTTTTTCTTATTAGAATTAAATCAGACTAAATTAGGTCAGAATTACTTTTAAATATAATTACATTCAGATAAGATCAAAATTTATTCTAATCAAATCAGAATCATTCAGATGAGGTGAAAAGAATATGGCCTAAGAGCCTGTTCTTTGGAAATTAAACTTTTAAATTCTAATTTCTTTCAGTTTTTTCAAACTATTCTCATTTTATTCAAATTCTTCGATACTCCTCAAATAATGAGTCATGCTAGGGATACACCAAATGGTGTACCCCATTTGTACAACATTGATCATAGTCATTGATCTTTTATTTATTTTTTTAATTTTACTTCCACACTTAAGATTGTGTGGTGGAGATGGAGTGGTGTACATTTGGGATACTTTTTTGGTGTACCCCTAGCATTTTTCTCAAATAATTACTCTAAGAATTATGTATTTTAATATGATTATTAAGATTATTATTATCATCATTATTATTACTCTGTATTATTTTTATTATATTATTATTAAATTTTTATTATATTATTGTTATTGTTATAATACTTGTTGATGGATACCCCGGACAGGGGGTATCCGGTCTTTGTGTAATATCAGTCGGGGCGGTCCAGTTTGTGCGATCAGCCCGTTTGTCGTTTGTTAATTACTTATTTAGGGCGGCCCAGCCTGTTAGCCCGACCCATTTGTCTTTGTATGTAAACCCTAACCCTTACTCTCCCATTATATATACCCCTCTTCTAGGAAGAGGGAGAGGGGGAGGGGCTCGTTCCACACGCTCCGGACTTACGTTCTAAATATTATCCTCACTAGCACAATGCCATTCTCAGTCTACTTGACCCCATATTTTCGTGCACTCATACTTAGTTCGATACTCATCCGCCTAGCCACCTAGGCCCCCGGATTCCATAACCCAACACTTGTATTAATAGTATTATCTTCATTGTTATTATTATTATTATTATTATTATTACAACTATTATGTTCATAACTATAGTTTATAAATTATTTCATTTTTTTAAATTTTCCCATGTCACTATTTTACGATTCAAACTCATTATTATTATTTTCTTCGAATTTTTAATATAAAGAGCACACTTATTTTGTCTATTAATCTACATGATAAATAAAACATCACATTTTAAACTATATTCAAAAATTAGGAGTTCTATGTTTTTATTTGTAAAATAGAATTTACAATGCAAATACAATGCCAGCCATGAAAGAAAAATAGATTTGATCACAGTACGTGATATGTCTGATATTTAAAACAAATTTTTGTAAAATATTGAGTGTAATTACAGATATATTATTCTATAATAAATACTACATAAATAAATTGAGGTACAACGTAGCCATAATAACTTTTCAAAATTTAACATTTTATTATTTATTCTAATTTTGTATTCTAATTAAAAAAAATTATAAAAGTAGTTTTTTTGTGTATGAATGATGAGAATACTCTTTTATCTCAAAGACATGGATTAAGATACCGTGATTATGTATATAATAATAATACTTAAAATACTAATATTAATTAAAAAAACTATAACAATAAATTAATAATAATGACAATTTTTATAAGTTTTTTTAGATTTTCCAATTTTTCCTAGTTTTTTCAGATCCATCTAATTTCTTCTAGTTCTTTCAAGTTTTTCCTATTTTCTAGTTTTTTTCCGTTCCTTTCATGTTTTTCCAGTTCCTTGGAGTTTCTTTCAGTTTCTTCCAACATTAAGCTCTTTTTTTCTAGCCCTATGAGCATTTTCTATTCCCCTGATATTAGTTATGAACTAATTAGAATAAGTTATAACTTGATTATAGTTATATTTAGAGATATTTTTTATTTGTTTTTCATTTATAATTTTTTTACGGAAAGTCCATTTATAAGTTTAATTTTACTTGTAGGATATTAAAAAATAGTACTCTCATCTTTAATTGAAAGTGTCATTTTAGAGTTCTACCAAAAATGTACGAAATACCCATCTTATAAAATCTTAAGATAGTTTATAGGAAAAGAAATCTACAAATAAGGAAACACGGTCTTTTAAGGAAACAAAAACCAATTAGGTCTCAAAATCTTTTTCCTCTTCTTGCTCCAAACATCACGTGTAACACCCTCTCTCAAGCTGGAGCATGGGGATTCCTTGTGTTGCACCTTGGAAAGTAAATGAGTAAATGGTCCGGCACCGATAGGCTTAGTAAAAATATCTACAGGTTGATCGGCCGAAGGAACATGCGTCGTATGTAAAATGCTGCGTTGAATTTCATCTCTGACAAAATGACAATCAATTTAAATGTGTTTGGTACGTTCATGAAACATGGGATTGGCTGCAATATGTATTGCAACTTGATTCTCGCAGAATAGTGTCATCGGTTGAGGATGTCGTGAAGATGACCTGTGACTTAAAGAAAAAGTGTAACACCCTGGCCCCCCACCCTGGCCATAAGCGTCCGCTCATAGAATTGTAGACTGGTCCCACAAACCAACATAAGTCTTTCCTGCACACTTTGTCCTCACTCGTGCGCACCCAAGGAAACTTCCCAGGGGTCACTCATCCTCTAGGATGGGTGAGCCCCCTGGGAAGTTTCTTTGGGCGCGCGCGAGTGAAGACAAAATGTGCGGGAAAGACTTATGTTAGTTTGTGGGTCCAGTCTACCATCTTATTAGCACACGCTTACGGCCAGGGTGGGGGCTGGGGTGTTACAAATGGTATCAGAGCAACTCTGCGACCGTGACGGGCCAAAAGAGCTTAGTTCACCTAGCGAAGAAGATCTAAGGGTTAAAAAAACATAGGATGCAACGAGGACTTTGCATTCCTAAGTGGGGGTGAATGTAATACCTTGATTTGAAAATAAATGGATTGGGGAAATAAAAAAAGATCAAAAGGATTGATAGTACTACTTATTGTTAGACGCCTCGCACACCTCTAGAGGGGGGGTGAATAGAGGTGTTGCCCAAAAGACCGGTTTTTTTTTGCGCGGAAACGTTCTTCACGAATATTCAACAAAAACAATGCACCACAAACAAAATAAAGTGAAGGATAAGAGCAATGCACACACGATATATACTGGTTCGGCCTAAATGCCTACATCCAGTCCCCGAAACAATCGTGCCCAGGCCTTCACTAACCCGTCAAACTTAACGGAGTTTGACAATCCGAATACAACTCGAGAACTTGATTTCACAAGCCTCTTATCTTACCACCGAAGTTTGATTTCACAAAACTCAGGATTTCTTCCACCTAACGTTTGATTTCACAAACTGTTAGGATTTCTACCACTTGGTGTAATCCCAACACCAAGAATACAAATCCCTTACAATAAAGTAAGAAAACAAACCGCAACCGAGTAATTCTCCCAACACGGAGTAGATTGTTGCAAATACAATGAAGTCCTTTAGAATATGGCAATATCTCTCAAAGACTCAAGCAATGAGGAAAAACTCTAGCGAGAAATGATTTAGCAATCAAAACAATTGCCTTGCTTGGATATAAGGAGGGGATTGAGTAGAATCTCTTTGGATATTCAAAGGATATGTTCTTCAAAGTGTTCTAAGTGTTCTCATCAAGATAATCACGAAGAGGGTTGTTTATAGAAGTTAGGGAGTGGATAGAGATGAAAAGAATTCAAAAAAACTAGCCGTTTGGTAGTTGAAACTGTCGACTTATTCGAATAACTCAAGAACTATTCGAATAGTTTGGATCAATCGCGTGGCTTGAAAAACCAGTTCCTATTCGAATAAATGGTGATTTATTCGAATAAA